CACGAATATAGGGTCTAAGTGCACTCCTCCTCTCTCTCTCGGGCCCCCTGTAGACCTCACTACTATAGTAACTGAGGTTTGAGTCCTTTCTTCCACTGACACTGGTACCTTTTCTTTACTTTAGTCCCTGTTGTGTGTTTCAGGTTTACCTCCATCACAGAAAGATGTCTTGCTCCAGCCTGTGCTATCCAGAATGCGGGGTGGCCCGACCCAGTTCAGTTTCTGGCAGCTGCAACGAGCTATGCGTTAGGCAGTGCCCTGACTCTGAAGTGGTCATCAGACCATCACCGGTTGTTGTAACCATCCCAGGACCAATTCTCAGCAATTTCCCTCAGCAGAGTGAAGTGGGAGCCGTTGGAGCACCTGTGGTCGGAGCCGGCTATGGGGGCTCATTCGGTTTGGGGGGATTGTACGGCTATGGAGGCCATTACGGAGGATTGTATGGTTATGGGGGATTAGGTGGTTACGGGGGCCGTTATGGTTACGGGGGATTGAGTGGTTATGGGGGAGGTTACGGGGGATTGTGTGGTTACGGGGGAGGTTACGGGGGATTGTGTGGTTACGGGGGCCGTTATGGTGGACTGTGTGGTTACGGAGGAGGTTACGGGGGAGGTTACGGTTATGGGGGAGCATGCGGTTCTGGGTTATCTTGCCATAGGTACCTGAGTGGAAGGTGTACACCATGTTAAACCCTGCAGGAATATCAATGGGAAAAGGAAAGACCAGGAAATGAACAACAAGCTAGAGATTCAGACAGAGATTTCAGAAGTGCTGGGCAGGCATGGCTCCACTTGAATTCAATGCGAACTGTGTCTGCTCAGCCCCTTTATCTCATAGACCGATTGCTAATATTATGCTTATAAACTCTTTCTGCCAATGCTTTCCCAACCACGCGCTTATTCTCTTAGTCACATATGGACTCATTCTGAATTACACTCAGGCTGTTTGCACTAGCCCCACAGTGTGAGGGAAACAGGGGCCTTAAGACAGGCATCAGTTGTATTTATTATCACTTTAATTTGTTTGTCCAACTCTGCACCTGCAGCAAAGGAAAAAGAACATCTTGCCTCAAATGCATCCCGAGGAAGCGGGTGATCGGTTGCAGCCCTTTTGGAAATACTTGAAATGCATCCTTTCTGTTCTGTATTATTTTTTTCTGTAACTGCATTGCAAATTCATTCTCATTAAAAACTATGCTGCATCATAATATCGATCTTCTGGTTCTCCTTGTTCCTCCCTCCTTGTTTAAAAATCGTGCTGGAGGAAATTCCTCCCTGTATAGCCGGCAGCACCAGGCACTTCTCAAGTTGCAACTTTCGAAGGTGTGGAGTGATAGGAGAATAAAGCCCTTAAAGTGGTTCAAAGCATTATTCAGGCCCTCTGCACAGAGCTGGAGTTCTTCCTTGCATTATCCGTGTAGCAAAAAGCCTTTTCCTGCTAAGACTTACACAGATTTTCACTTTAAAATGTCAATATTTCCTTCGATTTCAAAAAGACCAATCACATGGTTCGTGGAAAGTGTCTGTGTTCATCTTTGCTGGACAGCGACCCAGATTTTCGGAAGGAAAAGAAAACTGGCCATCCCTAAAGACAAATTACACTACACCAAAGTCATCTGCAGCAGTCAGGATCTCCATTGTGATATCAAGAGATTAGTACCCTGACCATTACTTCAGTACAAGAATCTCATGGTTTTTTAGGAAACTGTTCCTCACTGCACTCCATATTACCATGTTTATACAAACCCACCGGGTGCACCACAGCTTGATATTGCCGGAACTGCACATACCAAGACTGCATTTTCTACTATTTTCTTCAACATTTTCATGGCTCTCAGTTCCCAGAAGATGAATATTTTCTACTAATTAAAGAAAGGTATTTGCTTAGTGGTTGGTATGTACGTTTGAGCAGACTAGAATTATCTGGTACCAACATTTCTCCCATTTGAATTCAATATTGATAGTTTTGTTCTTGCACTGCGCATTAACAAGCTTGAAATGTACACACTTGTAATTCCTTTGGACAATTATTATCCTCATGTATGAAGAAGGCTATGTTAAAGAGACGTCCCACCCTGTACCTCGTTTCACAAATCTGAAAGAAGTCATTACCATTGGGTCACTATGACTCATTATAGAAATGTGTTTCCAAGGAAAGAAGAAGTAGAAAACACAGTGCAGATGGTGACTTCATCCCAATGGGTGCTATGCATTAAAGCAAGTTTTTGACGCTTGAATTATGTACTGTGATTTGCAATGCTAACACTCAAGGAAAAGAGAGAAATTGACAGACTTGTAATTCCTTTGGAGAGTGTTGTCCTCAAGTATAAAGAAGAAACAATTTACGGTGGATGCTTAGATCCAAGGATGCACACACTATTTAACAAGACATGTTACTAATGTTGTCTTGTAATAGAGTCTAACAGGGATGAACCTCGACCTTGAACTGTGGTAGGGGGAATCAGAACTATTGGGTTGTACTTCTGTTTCTGCACCTGACACCCATGTGACCTTCACCTCCATGTGCCTATTGTTCTATGCTGATAAAACAA